TAGTACTTCATTCTTATAATTTTATAACAAGCATAGCAGATGGGAATATGAGCTTACGCGCATCCTAAACTTCATCCGGACTGATTTGTAAGACACCCGGCGAGCGTTCACGTCCGGTAGGCAAGTCTGCAGTCACTTGTGCACACGTCCTCATTATATTTCTGCAAAAACAGTTTACGCATCTTCCTATCACTCTGTCCTTCCCCGTTCGTAGGCGGCGCCGCGGGTGCAGTATCCCGCATCACCGGCACCCTGGGCAAGGGAGTGGCTGCCCTTACTCTCGACGATGACTATAAACGTCGACGACGGGAACAGCTGTCTCGTCGTCCCGCCAACTTCTCCGCAGGTCTAGCCCAGGGCGGCAAGGATCTGGTCATGGTAAGTGTACCCTGTCAGGCTTAGGAGAAAAAATGGGGTAGTGTTGTCAGAAGTATTTCTCAATAAAAATGCCTACTTAAGTAGTGTGCATTTTTGCGTAAATGTCCGATATCCTTACGAATTGCAACATATTTCATAGAAAAAATGAACAGAAATATTGATTCTTGTACTTACTTACTTGACAGCAAATCACGTTTTAGTCAATTTGAAGAGATACTATCTCTTATACTTTAAAGAGGATTAATTTTGAAACTGCTTGAGACTGTACAGTGTTCATTAAAATGCTATAGTTTTTGTTTGTTTGTTAATGCTCCTTATAAAGTATACAATGTAGTCCACATTTATCGCATAAATGTATTGGCACCATACTTAATCTTCTTAATGGTATACAGGATTGTATGCTGTCCCTCACGCGCAAGTAATCTTGCCTGTGGACTGAAAGCCCTCAACTTCGATGCAATGGCAGATCGTGCCCCAAATTATTCGAAAATTTGCAGACTTAAAACCTACCCTCGCTCCTTCTTTGAGCACATAGTTTCCAGAGGATACCATTTGTGTATCAAAAGGATGCAATTAAGAATATTACCTTTCATTTTTGTCCATAAAACATGTTCGACCTTGTAAGGTCATCAAAAATCTATAGAACAAAACGCACATCACTTAAGCCGTCCTGTTTTTAACGAAATTTCTTCGGAGGGCCTAAAGGGGACGTTAGCTCAAAAGCCAATATCCTAATGTGTCTGAACTATCTTGGGACTATGCTCCGAGATAATGACATTTACAGTTCCATTTAAGTCCTTATTCCTAATCTAAG